GATGTAATCAAAGCTGGCTCTTCTTTGCCATGCACTTGCGGCCACAAGGCTGTCCACACATCCCTCCAAATGCAGTGGCGCATGGCCTGCTTATAACGAAAAGGAGTTTAAGTGTCAGAACAGGGGTATAATTCTGCTGATCCTGCCAAACGGGTGCATGTAAATGGATGCAGGAGACTCTTTAGACTGAAGCTGCCCATTGCGCAGCTCTGCAGTCATAGTCCTGTGCCAGACGTGCTGGCAAACTTTGCTTTCCGCTGTTTCTAATCAGAGGTTGTAAATCTATCCCAACCTAAAGCCGTAATGGCTATTGCCGGTCTGCGGTTAAAATGGTCCCTGATGGAGGCTGTCAGTACGGGAGAGAAATACTTTTCGTGTGAGACAATGTCTGCTCCAGGTCAAAATAAGGAGAGACAGCGGTAATCTAATGGTTTGGTCTGAAAGGCTGGGACACCAGCTGTATGGGGGTAATTTGATTTCCCTTTCCATTTTGCTGCCTGTTGGTGTGTGTGACACTCTCCACGGAGAGCCCAGAACCGTAAGCCACGGTCTTACTCCTTTGCCTCCGCCGGTGGGAGCTGTGCTGGCACTCAGCTGTCTGTCTGGCCAGCAGACGTGAGACTCTGCCCGCCTTAACATTAACCAGCCCTAGCAATGGGTGAACCCCACTTCCCCCGTTTCCCTTTCTGTGGTGTCCGGTCCCTCTCACCGGATACTCGCAGAAAGTGATGTTTGCTGCTTCCAAAGAGACCGTGTATACATCAGCTTGTTCGGTTAGCTAGGGACTCGCCAGTGTAGCCGCACAGAGCTCTGCTTTAGAGTAAAACTAAGAATAAGTTTATTAACAGAGATTGCGTGATACTAAGCAGAGATCACAGAGACAGGAAAAAGGTTACAGACCAAACAAAACCTCCTTTCTAGTGACCAAAAACTAACTTCTAGCAAGTTATAGCATTGCCTAAAACAGTTTCTCCTGCCCTACAGGCCAAGGGCATCCACCATGCCCAGGCTCAGAGAGCACTGCTCTGTGTTCCCTAAGTGGTTGATGGATCGCCTAGAGTGTCTTTTTGTTCCCCTTCAGGTTTTCCAGCTCCATGGCCTTTGTCTCAAGGGCCAGGAAGACCATCTGGTGGTGCAGATGCTGTTCGTCGCGCCCGCCCCGCTCACTAAACTGCTTCTTCCTCAGCTTGTTAGCTTTGTTACTTTGTTTACGTGATATGTAAATGTACTTGCCCATTGCCCTCTTCAAGCAGGTTAATACCTTTGTCTAGGGCAGAGTTGGTGGATGCATTCCCTCCCAAACACAAAAGCATGACCATGAATTTGCCAAGGTACGTAGTACACACGGTATAGGGAAGTTCATCGACTATCTTGAGTACTGCAGGAACGTTAGTCAGTGCACAGGCAACCTTGAAATGCTTTTAAAGGTGATCACTAGGGCCCTGTGTTAAAACTTTGCACGCTGCATCATCCCAGTTGGTGCGGAGTTTTAAAGTTGGTTTAAACTCTGATCGGATTGGTAAAAAGTCATCCCATTTCTTTAATACAGGCAGCTGTGATGGCATTGAGCAATCCGCCTGTTGAGCCAGCATAGCTTTGAGTGAAACAGTTGAAGTACTGAAAGCCACTAACGGCACAAGGCTCCCTGAAGCCTGCAATGCAATTGTCTACATTAACTCTTTGGAGGCTGCCAACATAGATGACAGAGTTTGAATCAGTTGCTAGGAGAGGATCTTAAATTTCTATGGAGACTTTCATCCAAACAAGCTTTATGAGCTCCTCTGGGGGTGCATCCTGGCAAGCCCAGTGAAGTCAGTGAGGGTTGTCCAGGTACGAATGGATCAAAACTTGCCCACCAGTATGCACCCATGCATGGAATTCCTTCCGCCTTAGAGGTTGCTGCGTTTCAGTGGTGGGTGAAGGAACCAGCTGTTCAACAGTGCAGCAGGAACATGGCGTATTAGGCTGTGTCTACACTGCCACTTTCAGTGCTGAAACTTTAGTTGTTCAGGGATGTGAAAAAACACCCCGCTGAGGGACAAAAGTTTTAGCGCTGAAAAGCGCCGATATAGACAGCACTTCATTGCTGGGAGTGTGGACCACCCCTTGTTCGGGGTGGGTTTTGCTTTGTTTTTTATTGCCAGGAGAGCTCTCCCCTGGCAATAAAGCATGTCAACACTGCCCACGTCACAGTGCTGCAACGTGGCAGTGTAGACATACCCATAGTTTAGGACAGGGAGTGAAAACTAGTGTGGCATCCAGTTGCAAGAGCAAGCAGAAGTTAGTCAGAATGGAAGTATAAATGAATGACTGCTGCCGTTTGGGTGCTTTAAATTTCCCCCTTGGTCTGCAGGGGCTTTCCTGCCCTCCACGGTCAGTTCCATTGAATAGCATCGAGTTCCTGGATAGTAAAATTTTCTCCTTTTGTGGGGGAGGAGTGGGAATTTAAGGCTCCAGATGCCTTCATAGGACAAGGATTGCAGGTCAACTTTTTCTTCTGTGAATATACCAGGAGACTGGGAGGAGGGAAGGGGACTAGCCTCCTTTGCAGTGAGCTGCAGGTGTGCAGGGGAAGCTGTTCTTTACCAGTTAGGGCAGGGAACTTGGCAGTTGAGACTCCTGGCTTCTCTTCCTGATTCTGCATTTCCGTGGGACCTTGGTAACTTTCTTGGCATGTGTTCTCCCCCTTCTCTCCTGCCCCCCACCGTTACTGTAGAATACACACTTATTAAGGGGGTTGGGAGGATCTCCGAGGACTGCAGATCATTATCATTCATTGCAACGCTCACCTGAACATCTTCCTTTCCCCCCAATCTGGTCATTGCTTGGCCACTGATTCTTGGCAGCAGATTCTTTCTGTGCCTCACAGTTGTGGTGACAGCAGGAATGTCAGGGTGCTTCTAGCCAGCAAGGCAATTTGCTCAGTGCAGCATCCAGCACACTGGTGGTCACTGGCTGTTTTGATGTCAGCCCCAACGGGCATGCCTTTATGAAGAATGCCTGGAAATGGGCAAATAAACGAGGCAGAGGCATTCCTGTGACCGCAGCGTATCTGCCTGCAGCAGATAGCAAAGTGGTTTATTGTCGGGGCCGATCTGCGGTCCCAAGGAGAAAAAGCAACTTCCTTTCTTCTCTCCCCTTCTCCCCACTGCTTTTATTTATTTATTTATTTATATTTTGTGCACGCTATCTGCTGTTTCGGTTGAAACAGACACTGGGTTGGGCATGCGGTGCTCTTGTCTATAGCAGTGGCCGGGAGCAGTTTGAAAGGGGCTGAGTTGCAATTTACAGCACTGTAAATGCTCTGTGCTGGTGACCGGGGTCTATACATCTTGCAATACTCACAAAACCCTAGGCACAAATGGATACCCCAGCTGAGATCTAGGTATCTTCGGGTGTGGGGTTACTATGTGCGGAGATGGGTTGGAATAACACGTTGATTTCTTTTGCACATAAATAAACTGCAGGTCTGCACATAAAGAGTTCACCACTGCAATGGCAATGTTTGCTGAATCCAGGCAGTGGTGGAAATTTATACTTTGTATAATTTAACAGTTAATACGGGAATAATGCTTAATGCCTCTTAAACGGCTGGTAATAGAGGGCAGCATTAAAACATTAGTTACTTTTGAGTTGAAATCCTGACAAAGCGGGGCTTAAAAACCTTTCCAAACAAACCACTTAAAGTGTCTATAAAAATCAACAACTTGTAAATCGCTCTTTGGGGTGGGGGGGAGATTCTCTCACGGGTTGGGTTTTTTTCATTGTGGCTGAAAAAGGAAGTGTAACATCTGAGATTCCGTTCAAGAGGTGGGTGAGTGGAATGCTTGTGAAAATACACCCAGTGCTGGGGTGGATTTCCTGGTATTTGATACTGGTCCCAGTGACTTAGATCAAAGGTGTGTGGTGTTCATGTAATGTTTACATAGCATCATCATTTATGAAGCACCTTAAAAGAGAATAAAAGTCGGCCTTCCTGCAAACACAAATCTGATGAAAGGGAGAGGGGCTGGGGCTGCTCCGGCCAGCAAACGCGGGGTTGAGGCTGCTCCTGGGGTTGGCCAGCCTGGTCCGGGCCTGCGGCTGGGGGTGGTCGGCTGGCGCGGCTTGGGCTGGGGGTTAACGGTTAGGCTGGGTTAACCGGTAAGATTAATGCTTATCACTTAACCGTTCACTATTTTACATCCCTATGGGTAACTACAAATACAACTGGCCCACGGCATATACTGTCTGTGGAGCTTGAAATCCTAGATTTTGAAATGGATGATCGGGATGGTGCTAGAGTGGAGGCAGTGAAAGAAGTGAGTGAGGTTTTAATGGGGGATTTGAAGGCTGAGTGTGAGGATGGACTTGAGAGGTGGGAATAATGATGTCCTCTTGTCCGTCTCCCAACGGCTCATGAGCAAAGCATGTTCTCCAGCGTTTTCCCAGTCAAGTTTGAAATGACTCAAAGGGTTCTCACCAGTTCCCCATAGACTCTCTTCTTGACAGCTCAGTCTCCATTTTCAGTTCCTTTCAGCCCATTTACACCTATTTTACAGTGGCTGCCTCCTACTCAGAGTGAAGTAGTTACCACTTCAGTCTCCACCAGTGGGAGCAGGTCACCTCCCACCCGTACTTGGATGTTTTGAGACGTAGGCCCTGATCCATGCAGGCAGAATGTTGTTATAGGCAGTGGAACCCAAGCAAGCTGACTGCATGGGTCCATTTGCAGGATCAGAGTTGTACCGTGTTAAGATTTTGTCAGGTGCTGCGTACCACAGTGATGTGCTCAGTAGAAATGCCTATGGATAAATCAATAAAAATAAACTCTTATTTGGGCTTTCTTACGGTTGGAATGTTCCTTCGTTAAAGGAACAAGGCAGTCATGAAAAGTCCTTTTAAGAAAATATAAGGCAGTGAGGTTTTAGAAACCATTTGTGGCTTGACTTTGTTGTTTAGCTGGACTGTGGTTTGAGCAAGTTTTAATCTTCTGCTTTCCTGTTTCCTTGCACTTGTAGGGTGACGTGGCCAACAGGCGCATAATGAAGAGGAGCTTTTGGATTTCCTAGTTCTTTGAGACCAAGATTCAAAGGAGAAGAACCTCCCATCTGCTTCTTTGCCATGTCTGGATCTACTCAGCCCGTGACACAGAACTGGCGAGCCACCGAGCCGCGCTATCCCCCTCACGCCATGTCCTATCCAGTTCAGATCAGTCGGACACATCCGGTAAGGCAGACCTCTCACTTCCCTCGGGACGGGTGTAGGATTGCGTGGCCCTGTTGTAAGGGACAGTGATTTGGATTTAATGGCTTCCGCTGAGGTGGGGTGTCGAAGCGAATCGAAGCACACTTCCCTCTTTCCTAATGGGATTTCTTCTTGCCTCTCTCATCTGTTCTCTCTCTTCTCCATCCTCAGGATGGCTATAACTTCTCCCCCTCTCCAACCTACTTGGCCACCTGCCTCAGTGCTGCTCAGGGCTCCAATTCATGGCTGTATTCTCAGAAGCTTGGTGGGTCGTTTGTTGTCCCGGAGAGAACACAATTGGTTAAAGGAACACGAGCAGGCGTTGGGAGTGGAGGGGAAGTGCGGTTAACCACATGTGTGGAGTTCAAGGACTCTGCCTCTGTCCCTTTCTGGCTCGGCTTTTACAATGTGTGCTGAATCATGAGGTGGCTGGCATCCTTCCACGAATGCCAACGTATCGCTTCCCAGCAAGCCTGACCCTCCGCACTCATGTTTGTTTGAGAACTCTTGTGATTTCCTCCAGGGCAGGCAGGCAGCCGTGCCAAGGGGACTTCCATCTAATGAACCTACTGTTTGCTTTTCAGTCAGGTAGCCGAGACCCCTCTCTTTGTAGGGCTTCTGGCTTGGGGAGGATGCTGCGTATTGTGTTGGTGAAAGAGAGGGGAATCCGTGCTCTTTTTTTAATACAGCCTCCCCGCAGCTCTTAGGTTTTTCTCGTCTCCTGTAGATGAAAGGCCTTGTCTTCTGTTAGACTGGGAAATACGCTGAGGCAAGGAATGTACTCAAGGATCAAAGTCTGGACTCCTGGCTCTGAGTCCCTCCTGCTCTAACCACTAGACTGCACTACTCAATCAGTCCAAAACTCTCATGGGGCACACCGGAGGATTGGAAAGTCATTTGGGATAGCCACGTCTGACACAGAGGGAAGCAGGCTGGGTTTTTGGGCGTGGGAGAATCTAGGCTATGTCCTGAAGAAGCCGTTTGCATGTGAATCAGTTGTCTTTTCTTAGTGGTGTTTGCTGGCAAAGCTGTTTTTCCTAATCCTATTATCCAGAAGCCATGCAAGACAGCGCTTCTATTTGATGACCCAGAGCTAGGAAGGGTAAACCCGTCCAAATCCCGCTGCTCTGTACTGTCACCCCTACCCCAGCTCACTCCTTCTGGATCTTCAAATGTTTGAGATTTAAGATCGAAATGGAAAAGACTTTCCGTAGTGGAACAGCTTCCATCGGCACAAGTTGCTTGAACGAATCTTATTAGGTGTCGGAGCATAGAGTATACTTGTCAGGCTGCTCTTTGGAGCCAGCCCCTTGGTGAGTCATAGCAAGTGGACCACAGTTACGAAGGCGTTTATAGCGTGTTTTAGTGTAGGCGGGCTGAGGTGACCTTGTTTCAGGGTTAGCTTTGTAACAAGGAATCCTATTGAACTGCCCTGACTGCAAAGCCTCCAAATCCAGGAAATGTCGATGTGAGGCTGAAAGTTTTGTTCTTCTCCCACTCTGCTGCTCTTCAGGAGCACAGCACCCATGGGAGTGTCTGGGAAAGGGTCGGGGTCGGGAAAGCTCTGCGGTAGAAAGCCAAGTAAGGTGAGGGGAAGGGATGGGCTTTCGGCTCCGTTTCTTTGCTTGTACGGGGTTGCTTGGGGCCTTTCTTCTGCCCTCTTTTACATTCCACAAGGAGGCTTTTCGTCTTTGGTAACCGAGACACACGTGTGAGTCTCGACATGGTTCTCCCTTCCGCGCCTGCTGTGTGGGGGCACGAGAGGGGGTCGGCGCTCTCATCTCTCTGCTGGCCTCTGGCAAGTATCCTAGGCCTTGATGAGCTGGCGCTCTTAGCCTTCCAGCTCAGCTCCCACCCTCCTCAAATACTTGTGTGTATTCCTCCACGGCTTGGTAGCAGCATCCTAATGTCAAGTCTCACTGTTGCTGGGGGAGAGCAGGAGAAGGGAAACCCTCTTGGTGGGTGGGGTCCCCCCCCCGCAGTCTCACCTCAGTCCTCAGGGGAATTTTGGGTCCTGCTCGTTGGGCGGCTTCCTGTCCGTTTGCTTTTCTTACGGGGGGTGGTCATTAGCCTGTCGAGCAGGCTTTGGAGCCCTTCTGCCCAGGCTGCAGCTCTGTATCCTAACCTTTGCTGGTCAGCCGATTAGCCACAGATGGGGGAAGGAGCTATTTTGTCGCTGGACCCCTTATTGGCTGTGGCAGCATGCAGCTTATACACCCCAGTGCAGCGCGGTTTCACAAGGATGCCATGTGCAGTTGAGTGAAGGGGCAAATTCTGTCCTGATCAGAAACTAGACATAGGGGTGGAGGCTGGAGGGGATGGGGGCGCGGAGAAACACACCGGGTTTGCAATCATTTCAGAGCCTTTAAAGAGAGTCCACTTTGAGTGTGACCCCAGAAATGAGTGAATGCTCAGGGCCGTGGGCTTGACTTCTTATATCTTCCAAACCAGCTTTGCTTTTCCTTTTGTGGCACCATCTAATAAAGTGAAACCAACCAGTTGTGTTGGATGCAAGTTGAAACATGAGTGCTAGATTTTTTTTTTCCAGCCTGCCCTTCCTCGCTGGCTGGCATGAATGCTGTTTTTATTCTGCTGAGTTAAGGTTGGAGCGGTTTGCTGGCTCAGCTTCTAAAGGCTATTTTTACAGCCACATTAAATCTTCCAGAGTTATGTGATACTGCTGAGGTGTTTAGGAGCTGGAGAGGCCTTGTTTGAGGCTGCAGATGGGAACCCAAAAGGATCATTTCCTACTTAGTGAATACAGAGGAGTCTTTCCCCCTCTTCCCACCCACGCAGTCTCCGCCATGGCCTTGTCAAAGCTACCTTGTCTCCCTTAACAAGGTGGAGGGTGGGGCATTTCTCAGAAACCTCTTCCTGTGTGATCTCCTTGTGCTCTGTTTGCAAATGTACATCTCTCACTTGGCAGAGCTGTCACCTGGCACCTGACCATGGCAGTAGGGACAGAGCTCATCTCTGGTTAGGACTATTTGGGAGGGAAGATGCAGTTGTTTGCTTTGAAGTTGCCTGCAGTGTGGTATTAACCCCAGCGTGGCGCTTGCTTGCATGGCTTGGCCAGGTCACTTTTGTCATGGGCTGTCTGTCTAGTAAGAGCTAGTTTGGAAGGAGATGGCGGAGGAACAAACCTGCCCCGGTGCTAATAAGTGTCTGCTTTTAATGATATTTTGATTCAGGTTTGCTACATCCTCTGACATATTTTGCAAGAATAGGGTCCTAACCCTAGGTAAATTCATGACTACTTAGGCTGTCTGCAGGATATTTTTGATTACATTGGTAGGGACTGTTCGGTTCTTAAGTTTGTACGGTGTTTAGCACTACGGTGCTTGGATGTCTAGCTGTGACCATAATACAAGTAAATCCATAGCTTTGTCTGTCAGTGGTCCTGCATTCACATGCCTTGACCCCCATATCTGCTGTTGAAAAGAGCCTTGTAGAAACGGGGGGCAGGGAGGTTCAGAAATTAGCCTTAAAATGGTTTCGGGCTCAGAGAAACTTCCAGAGGAAGAGAGATGTGTTTAAAGATGAGACAAATAAGAGGGGACGTGATAAAAGCATGCCAAACAATGGGTGGTATAGAGAAGGTAAATTGGGCACTTCTATTTACCTTTCTCATGATGCAAAAACAAGGGCACAAAAACAGAAAGGCAGAGAACTTCAAATTAATAAAAGGTTACATGTTTTATGGATATCTTTGCCACAAGGTATCATTAAGACCATGAGTTCAGAATTTGAAAGAGGACTGGACATTTTATATGTCTAATGAGAACGTGCAGAGTTCCTTTAGTAAGGGTTTAAGAAAAAGGAATGGCCCCCTGCCTGCCAACCCTCCCCCCCCAAATTTGGAAGGGACATAAATCCTCATGCTTAGGAGTATAAACTAACCTCTAATATGTGGGGTTAAGAAGAAATTTCCTATATAGGTAGGTAGGTTATTTTATCATCGCCCAATTCAGAGGTTTTTTCAACTTCCTGGGAAGTATCTGGGACTGGCCAATGTCAGAGAGACAGGATGCTAGTGAACCCACTGGTCTGGTACGTTATACCATCCCTGTATAGCTCATTTTTGCTTTATTTAAAATAAATGACATGCGATCTCTGTAGAAGTGTGGGTGTTCTTAATGGGAAAGGCAAAAGCCTTTCCTTTTTTAAAGCCAAATTCAGCAATGGTGTTTATCTGAAAACAGCTGTATGAACGGTTCCTCCCTTTGCTCCCAAGTGCACTGAATCATTGTGGACCAAGCAAAAGGGGACAGCAGATCATTTTCCACATTAATGAGTAGCTGGAGCAGCATAATATGTGGATGTCTTGTCAATTGCTGTCTTGCCAGCTCTTGGAGGGAGGGATTGCTTATTGAATGTTCTGTGACCTTTAGCTAAAGGTGAAAATGCATATTACTTGTATGCTTGACCGTGTAATGTGTCGGGAGCTCCTGCTCTCTCGAAGGAAACCTTAGCTTGAGGGGTTTTCATTTTCTGTCAACCCACAGATATTTTCTGTAAACAGATCAATTAGAACATAGAATGGCCCTGCTGAGTCAGACCAAAAGGCTGCCTAGCCCAGTATCCTGTCTTCTGACAGTGGCTGGTGCCAGATGCTTCAGAGGGAGTGAACAGAAGAAGGCAATTTGAGTGGTCCGTCCACTGTCATCCAGTCCCAGCTTCTGGCAAATTTCCTTTCCTAGCTTTGCCTCCATCCCTAGCTGTAAAGCCCCAAGTAATCTATAGGCAATGGGGTGGGAAGGGTTCCCCCCATCCATGTATCCAATTTCCTGTGGTGTCCTCCTTAATCGTCATAATTTACCTGCTCATGCCGTGCGGTTTCATAGCTATAGGAATGACTATGACATGAGCAGGAGTGGGGGAACCTGCATGGTAGGACTAGCAAAGGGGAGGTTTAGGCATTCTGAGAGACACGGTCTGTTGTTGCAGGCATCAGCAGGAAACATCAAGGGGCCCCAGCGTTG